ATAACCTTTGGAAGTTTGTTCTTGATAGCCTGACACTCATGGACACTGCTCCTTAAACATTTAGTTTGACTTGCTTAGCATGTTTACACTTGTCTTTACCATTTCTATTTCTAGATTATCTCCCTCCAACACTTAAAAGATCCTGCACCAACTGCCGGTTCAGAATCAATCAAACCCTTATTAGTTATTCTCATAAGTTTTATATGTTGCTGGATATTTGTTAACAGTTTAACGGCACTGCAGAGAACTCATAGAAAAAGGTGTTTTTCTTACTGATTGTACATCCGCGTAAGTGTATTTTTCTGGTTGTGAAAGCAGCTGCACCTGCATAACTGTATCTGTTTTCCTGTTTGTTGGTGGTTTTCATTGAACTTTATGGGGTCATTTGGCCCCATCTGTTTTAATTAAAGTGAAAATTAACTTTAATACGTGCGGTGAGCTTGCTTGTGCATTTTATTTATGTTTCCCTAATTACCTCATTTATGCTCATGTGATGCTACTTGGTAATATCTATTCACATTGTCAATTCTTCTTTTGAATTTCAAACTGTGACATTTATTTATTTATTTATTGTATTTTGTAAAATTCATTCCATAATTTCTGTAGTCTTATTATTCTCTCTTAAAGTCAACCATACTAGATGTTTTCCTTCACTTGAGATTGTAGTTATATTATTGAAGGACGTGTTTGTTACCTCACTATGTGCGACCGTTCTTATCCGAAGAAGCTTGCCTTTCAATACCTAGAAGACCTTAAGAATGAATTTGAGCGTGTCAATGGGCCTCAAATTGAAACTGCTGCTAGACCATATGCCTTCATTAAATTTGGTAGGTTTTTTTTTTTTTAAATTTATTTTATCCTGAATGAATTAGAATTGTTCTTATAGATACTTGATATTCTCTTACATTCTCTTTGGAACTTCTTCTAGGCTTGATTTTGTTTTCCCTGTTTATGTTCTTAAGATACTTTTATACAGAAAACAAAAAAATTGTACCAAGACACCCGCACCCAACGGAATATTGCCAAGTTGAATGATGAGCTGTATGAAGTCCACCAAATAATGACTCGCAATGTGCAGGAAGTTCTGGGTGTTGGTGAAAAGCTGGACCGTAAGATATCCAATTTTAGTTCTAACAAATTCTTATGTTCTCTATCATGTTTATTTTCTTTTATTGCAAGAGTTTACAAAGAATGATCGATTGATTATTTTTTTTTATGATTATGGTGCAAATTAAATGCGATCTATGTCTGTACTTGAAATATAGGTTTTAATATATGTTTAGATGTTGTAGTATTGATTAGATTAAGTGATTGTTATTTAAGCATGATCAAGGAGGTTATGCTAACAAGTCATTGTTGCTTTTAGCAAGCATGAGTTATATATGCTAGGAGAGATGTATGCTTTTTCCTCGGTCAATGAAGTTGGTCGTTTGATTATTATGAAGCTGACAAGCACTAGTAACTTATTGATTTAGGGCAGTCCCCGTCACCTATTCTCCTTGGTCATGTATCTCCACATAGAAATGGTACACTAACCATACATTCCAGGGCTGCCATATTTCTGCAAGTATATAACAAAAAATTTATGAACTCCCATGGGGAATCATATTCATCCCTTTCAAAGAGGTGGTATTTTTGTTTTTTTGTTTTCTACTAATAAATTAAGCTGAACTAAATCATGTTTCTTGCATATTACTTGATTTGGGTCAAATTACCCATTTTCCTTGTTTTTTGCGTGCAAGTGACATACTACACATCTATTTTTTGCTTCATCATTTGTTTTTAATCACTTCTTTCTTCTTGGATAAAAGATGCTGCAATCTTACCTTTCTTCACCTTCTACATGTGTTCACAAAATTCTCTCTTGCATATCTGGTGACAATGCAGAGGTCAGTCAAATGTCAAGCCGGTTAACGTCAGAATCCCGCGTATATGCTGACAAGGCAAGAGATTTGAATCGACAGGTTAGTGCCGTTTGATAGTTAACATACAGTTTTAATCCAACCGACACTTCAGCAACTTGCTCTCTATTTATATGCTTTTTATCCAATGTGCTCTTTCCCTGCTGGCTTTCCTGTAGAGGTTTTTAGGGCTAAGTCTTGTTGAAGGCCTCTGGACATGAGATCGATGTGGTATATTATTGTTAAACAAAGAATCATTCTTATGTCCTTTCAGAGGAATATCTATTGTGCATTCAAGTGTTTTATACTTGTTTTGCTAGACCAGCCCCCTTGATATTTTTCATTTGCCATTACCCATGGTAAACTACAGGATTGTGACTGAAAAGAAAAAAGAATAAGTTGATGTGGCTCACATGCTTAAAATTTAATTGGGTGCTCCACAATGGCTATGAGACTATGAACTGTGCTTCCCACTGCTTGTAGTTTCCTTTTTTAAGTTATAATTTTTTTTGGCAAATTCTTTTGAAGAGAATATGGATTTCAGGATTGTTTCCTGCTGGCTTTAACCATAGTTCTAGCTGGAATTTTAAAATTTTCTCCATGCTTGTTTTAAGATAGTTTTCTTTATTTATATATATGTTTTATGATAAATGTTGGCATTGGCTATTGCTAAAGTTCTTGACAAGTACACTTGAAATTTACTTATGATCTGCTCTACACTATTTGAGTGCAGGCCTTAATTCGAAAGTGGGCCCCTGTTGCCATTGTGCTAGGAGTTGTCTTCCTCCTCTTTTGGATTAAAACAAAGCTCTGGTGATCCAATGGCCTTCTGTGGTTTCTGAGAAATGTTGCATGTTTTCCTGGGTTTCTCTTGCATTGTAGTTGTTCGGCTGTGTTCGTGATATGAGTTCAAACTTCAGATTGGAGACTGGACACACATGAAGGCTTCATCATGTTTCAAAGTGGACTCTAGTTTTTGTTCATGGCAGGCATTAGTTAACACATGAAGGCTTCATCATGTTTCAAAGTGGACTCCAGTTTTTTGTTCATGGCAGGCATTAGTTAAAAGGACTGGTTCTTTATGCACGTCCAAACTACATATGGAAATGTGAAAGAGAAACCCCTGGTGTTACAATTAGGCAAGGATCAAATATATATTGGTACAGTATGAGGGTTTTCCGAATGCTCAACACTCTATATAGGCCTTATATAAATATCTATAATTTATCAATGTCCAATAATGCTCTAGATTACATTGATATACAACCTGCAATTCATAATTCACCTTTGTGATTCATTTGTGCACCACTTGTTTATTTACCACAAAATTTTTGGTAAAGCATTATAACCATACAGTTTGCTGGAAGTTTTCAGGTGCCATATGCCATGATACGCCGGAGTCCACTTGGTGAATTTGGCTAATATTTTTGACAGCTTGGACGGCGCTTGATGATTCTATGGCTTGTTGATGATTGAGTATCTGAGTGAACTTTAAATTTCCCTGTGATCTGAACTTTAAATTTCCCTGTGATCTGAGTAAACTTTAAATTTCCGTGTGCTGCAGCCCATGATACAAAGAGGTAAATCTGTGAGATTCACTTGCAACCCATGACTTTCTCCGGGGAAAGAATGTGACATTTCTTGTAGTTGCCCTGTTAATTTATATAAACCCTGGTTTCTGTTCGTCAAATCCTCTTGCACCGATTAGTGGCGCTACGCTATAGCCTCCAGCCATAGGGATGATTAAAAGGAATCTTTGGGCAGATGGGAGTAATAGTAAACAAAAGATGAAATAAATAAGAGCCATAAGTATATGTAGCATGAGAGAAGTCCATTCGACTTGTGCTTCTCTATCTGTCCAACTCGCCAGAACTGAAAAGTCTGGAATTCCAAGGGATATTCTTTTGGGGCTATGATATATATTCTCTTCCATGCCTCCCTTTCTTGTCATGTTCCCTTCTCCTTTTTACCCTGGCAAATTCTTCAATGCCTTGGTTGGAACACAAAGTGCCCGTTTGGCACTATAGCTGCGGCTGCGCTGAGATGAAAATAAATGCAATATTAAAGTGTTTGGTTAAGTTGAATCACACTTCTATTCCACATGGATCCCACTAAAAAACTGAGGTTGGACCTCAATTTTTGAAAAGCAATTTACAATTGCTTTTCCGTGTTCTCTCTCTCACGAACACTATCACACTGCTAATTAATTAACATAAAACTTTCCCAGCCCCTTCTTATGCCCCTTCTTTTGTCAAACGATGACCTTCTACCTGCACTAAATTCCCGTTAGCTTGTCTCCTCTACTCCCTTCCCCTCTATTCCTAAATTACTGCCATTGATTTGGACTCCCATCTCCCAAATTTTTCCTTCCCCTCTGTTCCCTTCTCTCGTCTCAAAGAGAGGCAATTATGGACCAAATAGGCAGCACGAAAAGAAGTAGAGTGGGAGCTTTCAGATGCCACTATACTACCCAAGATACACCCGAGCCGACTATGAGACAATGCAAGAATGGAAACTTGATTGCCTGGTCAGGGCGTATGAGTTACCCATCACTGGGATGTTGAAGAGAGAAGGAAGTATGCCATGGGAGCTTTTCTTTGGTCCCGTTAGACTTCTAGTTTCTATATCCTTAAAAGATGCAATTTTATCCTTTCTAGTAGCATTATTGGTTTTGAGCTAATTAACCAAAATTTTATTGATTTTAATACCAATCTGTCTAAGTTAAAAAGACAAGGACAAGATTACTACGTGCCACAAACACAAGGGGCAAATAGTTGATTATTCCTACAATAAAGTAAGATGGTATTGATTGTATATATATCAACTCACAAAAAAACATTTTTTATTAATTTTTTTTTTATAATTACAATCACAAAAACAATCACAATACCATAGCTAGCTGCTGTTTATTTTTATATTTTAAGAATATTTTTGAAAAAAATAATTTTTTATTTCAAATTAAAATTTTTAAATGTTTTCAATTTTTTTTTTTAAAAAAGAAATAGTTCAGAACCAACTATTAAACATGGAAACCCCCTTTTCATGTAAAGTTTATTCGTGACAGACATCACCTATATGCATGGAAGTAGAGCTGCTTACCTTAATTGTTGCCGCAGAGCTTCTGCAGCACCTGAAGCGCCTTGCAGGTTACCAATCATGGATTTGGTAGAGTTCACTCTTAGCTGATAGTTTGAAGATGGATTATGAAGATTTAATACAAAATGAATTATTTTACCTGGGATTTTGCCGAAACAACGAACTAGAGCTTATATTCAGCTAGATCGCCAGTTGGCGTAGATGTTGCATGAGCGCTTATGTAATTTACATCTTCGCTATCTACACCAGATCGATCTAAGGCCTGTTCTATGCAGAGAGCAATAGCCTTTCCTGATTTCAGAAATACAAATAGGAGCATTAATTCATACCCTCATACAGGCAACTGAAACTTTGCCTCCGAGGTGCTTGAATATCTTCTGTCCATGAGGTGAAAGAAACACACACTTAAAGTTCATCCCCTCGAAAGTTTTTGCTATTCGAATTTTAGGAGAGAACATGGAGAGCTAAGGAGAAGTAACACACACACACACACACACATTTTAAATTTGAATGTTTTTGTAAAATGTCAAATTAGTATTTAGGTTTTCAATAGACTTGTTTCTCACCATCAGGATGAGGTTCAGTTATGCGATAAGCATCACAAGTGCAGCTTCCACCAAGGAACTATGCACAGATATTTTGCTCCTCTTTTCTGTCATACGAAAATGGAATCTAAATGGAGAAAACCTTGTACATGTAAAAGGGAAAATCCAAACAGGCTGCATAAGGGGTGATATGCAGCAAGTGTTCCTTAGCATGCCCCAGTTCTTCTAGCAGCAAAACACCAGCTCCTTCTACCAGAACAAGTGCATCGCGATCCTGCGCAATTACAGAACTCGCAACTTGGCTTAAGACTCTGACTGAGAACAAATGAACCTTTTGACTGAAAATGCAGTTTACATACATTTTTACCAAATTTGGAGTAATAGGTGCTTCGGAGCCGCCACAAAGCCTCGAGTCCTGCAAATATCCCAAGATGAGGATGACTGTCAGGAGAAAAATAATGACTAAATATTTTTTTACATAACCATGAACATTTCTACCAAGAAACTATGTTTCATAAAGAAAGATTAGATGCATTCCTGAAACAAGAGTGGATCTAGCAGCAGCATTGTAAATACTATCTCAATGGGATAGTGAGAGGCTTACAGTTTCACCTCTGACGATATGATTTGCAGAATTAAGTACACAAACGTTGCAAAATGAACAAGAGGAGGATGCTGAGTAGTTAGGGCCCATCCATCCCTGAAACTGGCCAAATGTAAATTTCTGGAATGTTGCATCAGCAATTAATTTTACACTAGGGCACTAGTTCATCCGATTGTTTTTAAGCTAACCAAATCCATGCATTTTACTCTCTGCTTGCCGTTTTGAACCTTCTAAAAGTCCTGAATTTACAAGATGATGCAACTTCACTTACCTTCAGACCTTCAAATGAAGCATATAAAGCAAAAACTTATCTGCCCTCTTCGAAAGCTTCTGCGAGACCCATCCATATGGTGAGAAAGACTTGATTTATCCAGCAATTTTCTGTTACAACTAATAATGAGACTGGGAGTAATAAAGTTGATACAACCATTTATTGCAGTAGTTTTTGAGCCAAAGAAAACATGCAGTTAGAAACTCTGCGCAGTCAAAGCACTTAATTCTACTTATCCCGCTAACACCGTCGGGAAGATTGGTGTAGAATACATCTAAATCATGACCAACTGAGGTTACAAAACCCATTCCAGTAACAACAACACGCCGTTGCTCTTTAATAGGCCGTCTTCTCTTCATGATCACATCGCTTTCAGTTTGAGCAGCCATAGCAATAATGAATCCTAAAAGCATGGCAGAACCAGCACTTCCTGAGAAATTTTATTAACCTCTACAGGCTTTAAATTTTAACCGAAGTACTAGATTCTTACGCCTTTGCTTTTGATTCATTGGTGCTGCATTTTATCAAAAAAGTGAGAAAACATGGTCACCCAAGATGGCTGAAGACAAAGACAAAACCTCTTTACACTGTGGAACTCCTCAGAGGGCTCAAAAGATTGGCAATTAAGAACTCATTGATATTTGCATGCCAGAACCATAGAATGATGAAACTGAGTTACATGAACGCTTGTCAGCACCACCAATATCGATGCTGCATTTGGACACCAGCATCCCTGGTCTGTCCCTTTTGCTCATTGTTTTTGGATATTCAGACATAGGAAACCTTAGAGACTGATCTTTCTCACAAGCCAGAGACATATAAAGAGGCGGGAAGACACCAATTGCGTAATGTTGGAAAAATTAGGAACAACTATCTACACATCAATTTGGCAGAATCAATTCACAATTTACAAATTTCAATTCTTTTTTTTTTATGTAATCAAAATCATGATCAAAGAATCAATAAATATAATGTAACAATTACACAAATCAATACCAAGATTTTTATATGGAAAACCCGATACGGGAAGAACCATGAGACCATAGTCCATCTCAAAACTTCTACTATCAACAAATAATCAGTTCACAATTGTTATTCCTAAGATTTAACTAAGGGCTACAACATACATATCATCAAGAATAATCTATTCTTGAAATACAAGAAGATTAAAGAGAGAAGTATTTGAAAAAAAATAACAACACTGACAGCCTAATTTTCTATCAAAATGGTTAGCTTCCACATAACTAATCTTCGATCCAACCATCAAGAATGAAAAATAATGTGTCTAGAAGCTACTGTCAAAATCTCAGTCTAATCCAACGGTGAATGAACTGGAAATCGTAGAAAAAAAAAAGATTGCTCTGTTGCCTCTTCTTCTTTTCTTTCTCCCGTTTTTTCTCATTTCTCTTTTATTTTTCTCTACTACCTTCTACAGTGGCAACTGCATTTTAATTCAAACATCACATGATGTAGTATCACACACAATAAATCTCCCTCTTATGCACCATGTGAGAAATCCACTATATTATCAATCAACATGTAAGCTTCAATTTAGGAGGCTCTGACAAGCCCGCTTCCCTTCTGCAAAAATCAAAATTCTCTCTCGGTAGAGGTTTGGTCATCATGTCTTACACGTTGTTATCGATATGGATTTTCTTAATAACAAATGAATTCATCTCCATAGCATGTCAAATCCATTGATATCTAATTTCAATATAACCATAATCTTAAACTCGGTAATCCTCTTAAGGCATTATTTGCTGAGGTTAACTGTTCACTCACCCTGATCATCCATTTTGGATGCCATCAACCAAATTTAATCAACCGTTGTCTTGATTATCCATTCGGATGCTATTAGCCGAGGCTAATAAATTATTTGTCCCTGTTATTCAGTCGGATACTATTAACCGAAGCTAATCAACCATTTGTCAACATTTAAGTGTTTGGTTATCTGATATCTATTCTAACACAATATAGTAACATTCATGATAAAGTATTTTATTATTCAACGTATGAAAAAAGAAAGGTGAAAGTCACTTACTTACTCTACCTGTAGGTTGTTTTTGTCTTGATGATGATCCAATCCTGACCGCACCACCTAAGACATCAATGGTTACAAATCAATACATTTATATCTTTGAATCACATTTGTCACCATATTTACTTAAAGAGTTTATATGTTCACATTCAAGTGTTCCATATTTACGACAGTGAATGCTACTTCACTATAGATAACTCAATTTTGGCAGCAAGTCATAAATTCATTGCAAACAATACAACTTCGACAACAAATCATAATTTTGTTATAGAACACATAATTTGGCAACTAATATTAATTCGCTGCAAGCAACTTAGTTTTGATAGCAAATCACAAATTCACTGCAGAAAATCCAAATTGACAACAAATGCTAATTCGCTGCAGACAATTCAATTTCAGTAGCAAATTATAATTTCACTGCAGGACATATAATTTGAAAGTGAATGCTAATTCGCTGTAAACAATTCAGTTTCAGCAACGAATCGCAAATTTGCTGCAAACAACTCAACTTTGGCAGCAACTCCTAAATTCGCTGCAAAACATACATTTTGGTAATGAATGCTAATTCGCTGCAGTTAACTTAGTTTCGACAGCGAATCATAATTTTGTTGCAGAACACACCATTCACCATCGAATGCTAATTTGCTACAGGCAACTCAGTTTCAATAGGGGATCATAAATTTCACTGTAGAACACATGATTCGACAACGAATGCTAATTCGCTGTAAAAGACTTAGTTTCGGTAGCGAATCACAACTTCACTGCAGAACACATGATTCGACAATGAATGCTAATTTGCTATAGGCAACTCAGTTTCAGCAGCGATTCATAAACTCACCGCAGAACACATTATTCTGCAGCAAATGTTACTTCGTTATAGACAACTTTGTTTCGAAAGCAAATCACAACTTCACTGCAGGACATAAAATTCAACAACAAATACTAATTCGCTGCAGACAACTCAGTTTTGGCAGCGAATCGTAAATTCGCTGTAGATAACTCAACTTCAGCAGCGACTCTCAAATTCGCTGCACTACACACATTTCGACAGCGAATACTAATTCACTGTAGACAACTTAGTTTCAACAGCGAATCATAATTTTGTTGCAAAACACACAATTCACCAACAAATGCTAATTCGTTGCAGGCAACTTAGTTTCGATAGCGAATCACAAATTCATCGTAGATGACATAGTTTCAACAATGAATTATAATTTTGCTGTAGAACATGCCATTCGACAACGAATGCTAATTCGCTACAAAAGACTCAGTTTTGGCAACGAATCATAATTTGCTACATAACACATAATTCAGCATACACACACACACCACTCATGCTGTAACAACCCAAGCACATAACTTGTCACTAAGTTCCAAGAGAATACATATATTAAAACCATCAATTCCAGCATATAATCTTTCAACAAATTCCAGCAAAACATACACATTGAAAACCATTAATTACAGTATATAATCTTTCAACAATTTCTAATAGAACACACACCTTGAAACCATCAATTTCAACATATAATCTTTCAACAATTTCCAGTAGAACACATACATACATGCTGGCCAACCCCATAGTTAAAGCCAGCCCTCTACCCTGATTTGTTCTTTTCATTTTTCTTTTTATATGCTCTAGGAATGGGCTTCATTTCATTTTTGTTTCATTGTCCTCTTAGTTAATTTTAGTTGCCTTCAGATCTAGGTTAGATCTTAGGTTAATTTTCTTAGGGTCTTCTTTTTCATTTCCGGTTCTTAGTCATAAGAAGAAGAGGAAGGGAGTTTTATGACCCATGTGGTTCTTAGTCATAAGAAGAAGAGGAAGGAAGTTTTATGACCCATGCCTTTTGAATTTAACTAAGTTTGGGGAAGGTTTGATAGTGTTCCTTCTTCTCTCCTGCTGGTTCTCCTCCTCCTTCTTCCTCTCATGTTTTGTGGCCCTCCTTTTTCTTTTTCTTTTCCTCTAAGTAGCTGTCCAATCTTCTCTCAAGGTCTCAACTCTCCCTCACACATTTATAAGACACTCTCTTCTCTCAACCTCTTATTAATTAATGTGGTAGTCCTACTATTACATGGTACGAGACCACACACAACACATAAAAGAGAAGTTATTGAAGTAGAAGCTAAATTGATAAAGCAAAGAGTTGATACAGAAAAAAGCCAAACAAGAACTACATTCAAGTTATTTATCCAAAGAGAAGAAAGAAAGAAAGTGATGAATGTATTGCCTATCGTTTCTAATACATTGTTAAGGTTGTTATGCGATTTTTTTTTAAAAATAGTTTTTGTTTTTAAATATATTAAAATATAATATTTTAAAATCAACCTTTCAAAACTTTTAAAAAACATTAGAAAAAATATTAATTTAATATTTTTAAAATAAAAAATATTTTTAAAATACATCCAAAAATAAAAATAAAGCAGAAGTTCTCTCAGATTTTCGATTGCTTGACATTGTAATTTAAAAATCCTTATATCAACCCTAATTCCCGCTCAGCAGCAACGGCAACGTTATTTTTGAAAAATATCATTATTTTTGTTTCCATCAACGCTTCCTTATATAAACCCTTTCGATTTTAAAGAACAAAAACCCAAATCGAAGCAGTCAGCGCACTTAACAATGGTAACCTATAAACAAAAAAAACCCCAAGATGAACAAGAAGAAGAAGAAGTTTATAGTGCTGAAAGTGGAGGGTCCGACCCGGATTATGGTTCTGATACTGATCCAAGTTACAGCATTTTTGAGGAGACTCGAAGCAATCTCTCAAGATTGTCTATCAAGAAGAAATCAAAGTCACGGTTAGTTTAATTAAATCTTGAAAATCCTGAACTGTTTGCTGTTAAGAAAATAACATTGCAATGTAGTTGTCTGGTTGAATATTTTGGTGTAGCGTTGCAAAGGATCTGGACCTGAGCTTTGATGAAGACCCAGGAGAAAAAGAGACGAAATTGGCAGAAGTAGATGAGAAAAGTTACGAGGAAGTTCAAAAGATCATACAAGGTTAGTAATACAGTCAATAATCTCATATTCACGCAAGTAAACACTAGTTTTATATTAGAGCATGGAGGGTAAGATAGTGATAACTTACATGGGTTTGGATCTTTGAGATTGGATTTTGATTTCTTGCTTTGTGACGTGATGGAAGCTGGGAAGTTAGAGAGGCTCAAAGTGGAGCAATGTAAGGTCTATTTGAGGAAGAATAAATTGAGACTGACCGGAAAAAAGGACATACTCATCCAGCGCATAAAGGAGCATCAGGAGTAATTTTGCATCTTCTTTGAAGCTACTGATTCTTTTTTTCTTTTTATCTGTCGTTTTGATTTTTTGTTTATCTTGATGTAGGATTTTGAGTGGCGGAGGGGAGAAAAAGTACCCCATATCTAGCTTTGTTTTGGACTGTAAAGGTAAACCACATTAACTTATTATTGATTGATTGATTTTAATGCTTGAATGCATAACCAGCCTTTAAGACAAGAATAAGGGATAACATTTAGTAGAATGGGTGATGGATGCTCTATCGATCAATTTCCATGATGCATAAAACCATTCATAAATGATTTTTGGTCATTTTGTTCTTTCATGTGTCATCAGCTTGCACTGTTCTAGCTTGTTTTGTTCACTTTCCTTCAAGTTTATACCTTAGACATGTTATTGCTTTTATGCAGGGGATGCATGCAGAGGTGACATTGTCATGTTTGACCAGAATGTTTACGATAAGTATGTCTTTGGAATAATATCTTTGATCTACAAGACACTCCTGTTTGATTATGCTGTAAATTACCATTAATTGCGAAATGTAGG